CCTAAACCCTAAACCCTAAAGGTGTACCCTCCTGGTTTCAGCGGAGCATGCCGAAGAAACTGCGAGGTCGACCAAAGGAGGCCTGATCGGATCAAGCTTTGGGTAGTTCTCTAAGGGTTTGGGGTTTAGGGTTNNGGGTTTAGGGTTTAGAGTTCTAGGATTTAGGGTTTAGGAGGATTTAGGGTTTAGGGTTTAGGGAGTTCTCTAAGGGTTTAGGGTTTAGAGTTTTGGGGGGTTTAGTAAGGGTTTAGGGTTTAGGGTTTAGAGTTTTGGGGGGGTATAGTAGGGGTTTAGGGTTTAGGGTTTAGGCTCCTTTTTATGTATGGTCCTGTTTGTATAAGGGTGCCGTACTGTTTTGGGGACTTAAACAAGGACCCTAATTTAAAGAACTACCCATTTGCTGGGTGGTGTCAGGAGCTGTAACAAGGGTGTTTTAAAGGCTTTGTGTATGGGGTCAAGAATGGATGGGGTTCCAAAAGGGTTCGGGGTTTCGAGCTTTCGGTCTTAAGATGCTGAAAGTTTCGAGTTTTGAAGGGTGTTCATAAGGACTCTGATAGGATTTCGTGGGAGTAGTATGATTTTGGAGGGTGGCTCTCTTCTTCTGACCTTTCAATTATCTGTTTCGTCAGTTAGTCGTTGAGGAGCAGTTATTTCATTGGATTCTACAAGAGGCTTGTCTTTGCTGTCGTTGATGTCCGACTTTTTCATGCTCGGGCAACACACACTCCGATACTCAGGACCTTCGTTCAGAGGCCCAGGACATGGTTCGACCCTAAACCTCTAAACTCCTAATCCATAAACCCTAAACCCCTAAACCCTAGACAGTACAAGGAAGTTCTCGCGACTTGGTATCCGTATATACCATCCCGCAGGCACCGCTTCAGTTCCTTGAGAGTTAACTCAACCTCACCCGGCCATACCTCATCCCTACGTAAACCCTGGACCCTTGAGCACCCCCCCAAAGAACCCTGAACCCCTAAATACCACACCACAATGCTTGACACTAAGGCCCTTGACATTTCCGGTCTAAGAAATCAGAGGATTCAGAGGAGCCGGTGGGGATGATCTCGACTTTCTTAAGCATGTGGGTAGTTGTCAAAGTTATGGTTCCTTTTGGGGTACCCTAAATAATAGGTGCCGTATTATTATAAGGACCCAAAAAGGGACCATAATTTTGACAACCACCCATGTGTGGTGTGACTGTATACAAGCAACGTTTAGGGTATGGGTTGAAGGTCTGAACCCTGAAGCCCCAATGCGGAGTCCCTAAGCCCTAAGTTCCTAGAGCCCTGAGCCCTTGAATCCCAAACCCTAAACCTTGGAACCCTAAACCCTAAACCCTACGCCCTAAAACCCTACACCCTAAAACCCTAAACACTCTGCCCTGAACCTTAAACCCCAAACCCTGCGCCCTAAAATCCCTAAACCCTGAATCCCGGAGGCCAACCCCTAAACCCTAAACCCTGAATCCCGGGGAGGCCAAGCTGCTACTCAGCCTCGGGACCTTGCTGATGCCCGAGGACTTCCGTCGCAAGTTCAGCGCGTCTTTGAAGCCTCCCGGGGTTTCTTTCCCAGAGGGTCTCTATACAACCTATAGTAGCAAAGGGCCCCAAATTGGGGGATGCATCTGTGGGAGGGGCCTCTAGAAAATAGATCTATCTATCTATCTGTCTATCTATCTATCTACATATGTATGTATGTATGTATGTATGTATGTATGTATGTATGTATGTATGTATCTACATATGTATGTATGTATGTATGTACGTATGTATGTATGTGTATATATATATATATACACTACCATTATGGAATTAGGTCCCTAAGCCTAAAGCCCTAAATTAAAGGTGGGCTTTCGGGGCATAGTTCCCATAATGGTAGTATACAGGGACCCTCTGGGTTTCTTTTAGGAGTGCATTCTGGGAGCCACCGTGTGGGGCTTAAAGGGCTTAGACCCTAAACCCTAAACTCTAAACCGTGGGTTTAGGGTTTAGGGTTTAGGGTTTAGGGTTTAGGGTTTAGGGTAGGGTTTGTGCTGCTTCCCAGCTGATTGGCAGAGTCTGGGTTCAAAACAGAGTCTAGGGGTACTCTACTCTTAAGGCTACAGAGGGGGTACGGGTGTTTTGGGGTCCTTATAAAGTGTTGAGGGACCCATATACCTACTATACATATGTTCGCCCAAAAAGTGTCTCCTCAAGGTGCATGAGGGGCGAAGAATATGTACAAACCCCTTAAGCCCTTAAACCTAGGCCCCTACATATAAAGCCCTGGAGCCCTAAGCCCCCAACCGGACTCAAGCTTTAGCCCAAAGAGTCATAGACATTAGGGGGAGAATAATAGAGTTTAGGGTTTGGGAGTTTGGGGTTTAGTAGGGTTTAGGGTTGTTGGGTACTGTTAGGGGGGCTATTTTTCCCAAATCAGAATAAGGATTCCTGATACACAAACTCTAATTTCTACACTATTTCTACTATATAGTAAAGGAGCCTGAAAATTGCCAATACGATTTTGGGGGTTCCTGTTTATGATTATACTGTACAGGAGCCCAAAACCTTATTCCAATTATTAAGGCCCCTGCATTAGGTACTTTGGAGTGCTGCAGGTCTTGACGCTCCCGGCCTGAGAATGCTCATGGGCTTCTGGAGGTTTAACCTAGCTTTTTGAATAATGGTAGTAGTAATATTCATTATAATACTTGTAGTTTACTTGCAACATCAACAATAACAGTAAGAACAACAATAACAATAGTAATAACAGAAATCATAAACTAACAGTAGTAATAAAAGTATTCACAACCATCATAACAGCAATGATGTCGACAATCGTCGTCATCACCATCCTCTTCATCAGAATAATGAAGCGAAGAAGAGTAAGGAGAGCAATACGAAATAATATACCCTTACAGTCCTAATAAATATTTATAGTATACTATACCCCGAAACCGTAGAGAAGTTATTCAGATCCTTGTTTTAGGGTTTCGGCATCTACCCTCAGGAGCCAGCAGAGGATCTCATCCGCGAGTTTCCGCACACGGACCCCCAGGCGATTGACATGACTAATATAGGGTTTGGGGTTTAGGGTTTAGGGTTTAGGGTTTAGGATAGGGGCCTTCATCATTACCTATATGTACTGTTTTGGGGGGTTCATTATTATACTTATAGTATGATATACCCCAAAACCCTATTCTAAGTATCAAGGCCCCTACACTACTCTGTTAGCTTTCCCAACATCTGAGCCGGCCCCTTTCATACCAGCCTGTTCCTCCCAAACTTTAACCCAAAAAACCCTAAGCCTTAATGAAGCCCTAAGTCCCAGAACCGCTAGAACCCTAAACCCTGAACCAAATCCCAGAACCGCTAGAACCCTAAATCCTGAACCAAATCCAAAAGCCCTACACCCTGGAGATCCTGGGACCTCATCCGGTAAGTCCGAGCTGTGAGAGCGTAAGCCCTACACCCTGGAATTGTGAGGGTCCATGGGGGTTCCTTTAAGGGTTCTATGAGGGTATCATGAAGATTTAGGGTTAGGTTTTAGGGTTAAGGGTCCATTTACAAACATAGATACTTTGGCCTTGAAGTTTCACAGGAAGTCCCTATTTAGGCCTGCTTAGGTCCTTATGGGCAATATATATATATATATATATATATATAATTTTTAGATATTTTACCCTAAACCCTAAACCCTAAATATCTGCAGGCGAGCCGACAACATGCTTTTCCTCCAGGGCTCGCAATGTATGGCGTGCCCCAGCAGCTGTCGGGAGCATTTGAGCAATCGAGGGGCCTGAAACGGTCGAGGGTTTAGGGTTTAGGGTTTAGGGTTAGAAGTTTAAGGTTTTAGGTGTAGTCTTTAGTTGTGGGGTTTAGGGTTGTTTAGGCTCTGAGTGAGATCTGTAAGCCTTTATCTCGTGCCTCCTGTGCCAAGTGCATCATTGCAAAGTGTCTGTTTGCAGAGCATGGCGCCTTTGGTCAGTTTCTGCTGAGCGTTGATTGAAGCCGGTGTCCGTTCAACTATGAAGGTGCTGGCTTTACACTTGGCACGAACTGTTAACAGACACTGTATCGGGACCTTGCCTGTACTGAAATTGAACAAAAGAGGCTAAGTTTAGGGTTGCAAACTCAGGTACTTGAGGACACGGATGCTGCCCTTTTCGCTGCTTGGGCATTTGTTGGTGGGATTGCGCGCATGCATTCGCCAGTAGCAGCCTGCACTTGAGGTGCTTAGGCAGAAGGTCCTTAAGACTCACAGAGACCATTTGGGTAGACAAGACATCTCGGAAGTGTCAATCCCGAGCTCTTCATCTCAATCACCCTAAACCCTACACCGAAACCCTA